AAATGCAGATTAAATTAATCGGCTGATTGAAAAATTTAAATCAACGCGATTAGTGCATTGATAGCTTATAATGATCTTTCCATTGAAGAATCATCGATATTTCAATTTTCAATATTAACGAATTATCAGAGACTTGAGAAACCGAATGGAAAGTAGGCAGAAAAGCGTCAAAATTCTGGACGCAATTGACAGTGACATAAAAGGCGACAGATTTGCGGAAGCTATGAAAGCAATCTAGCCCAGCTTGAACGCCGGTACAGCGTTAATGTGCAATTAGCGGTTGAATCAAAAGCCATTTCGATTTAATCTTCCCGAGTTTCAGCTGCACCCGCTGTTCAGCCTCCGAGCCAGGCGTTTCTGACTTGACTTTCGATAAGTCGAGTCGCCCGTACATTCGACCGCCGATGCGCCTGTGTATGCGCGCGCGTACGGGTCATATTCATTGATGAAATTGAAGTAGGGAGGGTGTCTAAGCGCAGGACTACTTCCGCCTATTATCAACTGCATTAAAGGTCTGGCGATTAGCTGAGCCAATTGTGCTGCTTTGTGAGCTTTTATTCGCATCAGCCAAATGAATAAATGTGATTCGCGCACAACCTCGTTTCCTCTCTGCCCAACTGCGTCTTATTCATTGTCATGTGTGTTTCATCTTTTTATTGTTCATTATTATGTTACTTATTATGGAATATTCATTGCGCTAACCGGCTAATTGTTAATGTATTGAGGCTGTATATGATCCGGTAATGGTTCTTTATGTTAATTGCCTGTACTTATTAAATGACGAGCTCATCATAACGAATGAATGCAATTATTTTTGTTAATTCAGGTATTGCCAAACAAGTCAAAATGTCAAACTATCACAAGCTTTTTCAATTTACGTATTTTTGAAATATTTATAATCATTCTATAAATACGATAATAAATACAATTTTTCATAAATACGATATTCTATAGTATTAATGGATTATAATATGGATTTTGAATAATTGTATATTGATAAGTTTTATTATTAAGTTATTGTTGGTATTATTAATTTTATTTTTCGTAAATTATTATTTAGACGGCTCTTGAAATTTTGAGTATTCAGAATTCTGTATTCTGTATATTTTGTAAAATGAAAATGGTTTGTCATAAAACCATATAGAAATAAAACCGTATAGAAAATATTTCAATTTTTATGAAATATAAAATTTTAAACTATCAATTAACAAAGTTAAAATATTTGTTTTATTTTTTATATTATTAATATTTTTAGGATTTGGACGATGCCATTACTGAATCTATTATCAACCATCTTGTCGTATAATATTTTGTTTTTTGTTTTGTTTTGTTTTTGTTAATAAATAACGACCGTCGACATACTATTTTGCTTAATTAAACAGAAAAATACTAAAAGCATAAATTTACAGCATCCGACTGGCATTAATTAAAATTTATATATATTTATAATTACTCAATTTTTCGACCGAAAGATTTTTCATCATTTGATTGAGTTAGAATACGCAGGTTTATTATAAGCTAATTTTTTATACCTAAAATAAACAGAGTATCCGATGTAAAATACGAATAAATAATCTTAGAAAGTTAATTTTATTTATAAAACTTAAATAGATAAAGTTTTGAAGTTTCTTAATTAAAAGTAATTCAATTAAGGAGGAAAATAAATTTTCTTATAATAGTTTCATTTAATAAATAATATAATTAAATATTAACTCTTTTAAAAATAGAGTATCGTCAAACAATTATGAAGCTTAATAAATAATTAGGTCATAAAAATAGTATTAAAATATTTAACAGAGAACAATTTTACGTATAATATATAATATATTTTATACAAATAATTATTACTAGCTAATAGTAATATGGAAATATTTTTAATTTTTATTATTAAATATTTATCAATTATGGTACTTAATTTCAATGTAGTTATTTTGCAAATTAAATATAATTTCCTATTGTAATTGATTAAGCGATAAAATTTAATGTATTTGTATATCTGCAGGAATTTTTTTTTTTTTTTTTTGTTATATCTGTTACTAACCAGCTTACGATTCTGTATATTTAGTAGTAATGCATTGTATTTAATAAATTTATAAATGAATATGAATTACAATTTAATTATATTTTAAATAATAGTCATTAAGAAGAGTTTTTAACATTTTTAAAAACATTGCAATTTGGGATTCCTTAAAACAGTAATAATAAAGGGTAAGAAGATAAGAAGGGTACAAATATATATATATATATATATATATATATATATACATA